GAAGGGACTGTCAGCAGGTTTGGGTGCCCAGTATTGTGTATAATGCCCAGGGGACCACAATTACAAAGATAATAAACCCTTTGTACAAGTAATATGGTAGAGCCTGGGGAAAGATGAGTTTATAGAGGATCGACTAAAAAGCTGAGAAGGCTAACAATAAGTAAATCTCATATTCATTTTCTATAATGTTACAATTTTTTTCAGCAAGTGTTGTGATTGTGATAACCTGCTTGTCTCCATTTTTTTTTCTAGAATGTCCCGGTATGACATTACATCTCGCATTTACATCATCTCTTCTATCTTATTCCTTTGTTTGCCTTCATTTGTCTCTTCATGTTAAGCGTCCTTGAGTATCTTGAAAAGAGCTTTACAAGTGTTGTGTATAAGGTTGAGGATCATTAAGAAGTTGCCCATACAATACATACCTTGCGTACGGTTTTTGATACAGTGCACTTTCAATCTGATAGAATTCGATACGATATATTTTAAATCGATTCTATTCGATTCAGTGAAAAACAAAGCCTAAATCATGGCAGTGATACTAAAAGTCTACAAAGTCTGCTAAGTTTGTGCATAGTTAATATCAGAACACCAATTTTACTCGAAATTTTACACAATTTTAGCTCTTACACAAATTAATTTAGTAAAATATACCTAAATATGCTCTTGGCGATATATCGATACAGCAGCCCAAGATATCGATAGTGTATCATTAAATTAAATTATACGATATATTGATAGTTCAATATTTTTGCACACCCCTAATTTTGTGCCGCTATTCATCATCAATCATCATCTCCACAGATCTGACATGTAACTTGGCCCTGCTGTCTCTGTAGAGATAAATAATCGTAATGCCATACTGTGGAACATTCCAGGCCACAGGTGTCAAACATGCGGCCCAGGGGCCAGATCCGGCCCTCCAAGACCTTTAATCTGGCCCTCAGCTGATTTTCTACTAAAATATTTAAATTCTATTTTTTATTAAAATACTGTTAATTTTCTGTGGTGTTTATCATAGCAGCGTCTCCAGCGTCTGTACGTGGCCCCTCCCACCAGAGCAGCACAAATGAAGATTTGTCTCTTTCCAAACGCTCTTAAAGGACGATCGTTTTGACTGTTGACCGTGACACCCTCATCAGAAAAATGTCCGACATGAGAAAAGTGGAGCCGAGTGCAGGATTTTCCAAACAAGTTCATGTTAAAACATTGTGTTGAAATTGTATTTTTCTTAAAGTTTCAGGTTGTTCATAATATTATAATATTATTGTAAAAGAAAGAGTTCATCAGTTAAAAAAGATTTCTGTAATAGATTTGTGTTTCTCTGCACAAATATTTGAACTTATTGTTATTTTTGGGGTTTATATGACATGAGTTTTCTGATCCGGCCCCTTTGGGATCAAAGTCGGTTGGATACGGCCCCCGACCAAAATTGAGTTTGACATCCCTGTTCTAGGCAATATCTCATTGAAGAGAAGCAGATGACGGACCTTGCACCAGAAAAGTTACACAGTGCACCTTTAAAGAGCCCATATTTTTTTATTTTTCTGAGCTATGTTATAATGTTGTTTCCTCATCAAAACAGATCTGAAGTGGTGTTTTGTTTCATTCACACATGTTTAACACAGTTCTTCTCTCAAACAGAAAACACTGTGTTCCACCTTGTGATGTCATGTGGTAATACAGAAAGTGCTCCACTGTGCTTTCAAACTCCATACACCTTCACTGGAATCATTTGGATAATTTCAGCGCTGGAATTGCCAATCTCTGCTGACCTAAAGGATAAAAGGAGCTGTTAACTTGAAAACTACCTCTTCATGACATCACAAGGTGGAACAGAGCATTTTGAGCTTTGGATACATAGACTGACTAATAATAAAGGATTACTCAAACATGTGTGAATGAAACAAAACACAACTCCAATACAGAGCTTATGATGAACTGGATTCACTATAACTACAACCAAGAGCTCTCCCTTTTATCAGAAAAAAATCCAAATAGTTTTTTCATCCTTATTTTGAATTAGTTTATTATATTTTTACTAGGCAACTGTACTTTTACTCCAACATATCTTCTATACTTGATTGCAACTGCCATGATTTGTTAGTGCTAAATAAATACCCAGTGCCAAAGTGAAAGAGACATGATTGTAGCGCCCTCTGTTGTTGAGCTGTAGATCACACAGATTAATTTTAATGTCAGTCAGGGAAGTAAAGTTCAGTGTTTTGGTTTGCTGCAGGCTCTCTATGCAGCTTTTATAATTAACCAATTAATCATTTACATTTTTCTAGCCACGACCTCTGTTTGGAGAATGAGATGGAGAAGGAAAGAGAAATTACCAGTGGGGAAAAAAAGAGAAGGAAACTATAATGGTAAGTATAATGGAAACATGTAGTAACCTCTGTGGCTAATCAGTTAATAAAATATTAACTACTGTGGTAAATACACACAGATATAAATCAATGTTTCTGAAAACGTGAATGGTCAAAGACTCTCAAGTTCAGTCCAATCCACTTTATTTAAATTGCACATTTCATAAACAGCCAGCTTCCAACAAGAGCCAAATCATAAAATAGCAATAAATAAAAAGTAAATTATTTTTATTTTAAAAAAAAGACACCAAAGTTTGCCAAAGTACAGAGATCTGGAGCTCTTTATTCTACTTCAAAATTCTTGTTCATTTCCAAACTGAAGTAGTACTGATAAGAGATTACCAGCCCCAGTTAAAGGTTGTATAGAGGATTTTCCAAGGAACGAGAAATCCAGCGACTGTTTGTCCTTTTTCAAATGTTGCGCATGCGTGAACCCCCCCCCCCCCCCCCCTACAGCTCCTACGTAGAAACGCCTCCTCCCGCCTCCTCCTTACGCCAGAAACAGGTTTGTTTACAGCCGGTGCGCTGCACATGACTTGTAAACAACTAACTACAGTGTTGGTTAGGCAAGACGGAGAAGTGAGGAGCGGGGGGAGCGGGTGTGCGGACATTTCGTTCGCGGACGAGAAGTGAGGAGCAGAGAGAAGAGCGGAGCAGAGGGAGCAGGGAGAGGAGAGGAGAGAGGAGAGAGAGGAGAGAGAGAGAGAGAGAGAGAGGAGAGGAGAGAGAGGGAGAGGAGAGAGGAGAGGAGAGGAGAGGAGAGAGGAGAGGAGAGAGGGGAGCGGTGCGTGGAGATTCCGTGCCCGGAGAAGTGAGGAGCAGGAGGAAGAGTGGATCGGGCAGCGGGGACAGGAGCAGGAAAGGGGAGCAGAGAAGGTTGCGCGGAGATTCCGTGCGAATGAACTAACTACAACACGCAGCAGCAAGCGGACTCTTTCTTTGCCTTGAAAATTACGTTTTCAGACATAGGATATCGCTTTCGTGTCCTGAAAAACGTTTGTCTCGCTCTTGGAAATAAAGTACGTTTTCATAATAAGCAGAAGTTTCCTGTCCAGGAGTAATTTGGCGACCAATGCGTCAGTCTTTAGACCCTGCGTCTGCTTCAGTCGCGCCATCGCTGGAATGAATCTTCAAGAATCACCTTAGTTTGGCTTCGCTGCTTTTCCCCTTGTCTTCTTCTTTCAGCGACCTCAAAAACGGACTTTCTTTTGCGGCGATCTGCTCCTGGATTCTTGTCGCCATTGCAACAAACTTTGTGCTAACGGCGAGGAAGATATAGGTCAAAAAAAGCCGCTAAGAACTGTTGCGTTGGTGGAGTAAACAGCGTCTGTGCGTCTTGCGTCTGTGGACTGCGTGACAGGCGTACGTAAACCACGTACCGGCGGCGCGCAGGCAAGTCAGTTACGCTAGAAACGTAGGGAGATTGATTGACAGCCTGTCAGCTCACAGATAACGAGGCAGTGTCGTTATCTATTGGCAAATGTTTAGCCCCACCACATCCAGAGTTGATGAATTTTTATTCTCTTTTTTTTGGTCATCATAATTACAAGGCTACTTTACCTCTATAATGCTATCATTGACAATTTGAAACCAAAAAAAAAAATCCTCCATACAACCTTTAACTTTAACATGAAACAAAAATTGTCTGTGTAACCTGTTTGTATCTATGGAGGAGTCATTGCTTTGCCTGGAATGTTCCATGATACGGCATTAGGCTTATCTTATCCTAACCTATAGATGCCAAACGTGTTTTTATTTTTGCTTATGTAATTTAAATATTAATAAAATGATTGAAAATGAGCATAGAAAAATAAAATGAAAAATGAAAAAAACAAAACAGTCTAATTGCCTAATCATAGGTAATTGGACTAATTAAACTTTATTTAACTGAATACTAACCACTCCAAACATAATAGAAGTTATTTTTGCCTTAGCACTTTTTAATGGTTGTTAGAATGTTTTGTTTGTGTTTTGTTTCATTCACATATGTTTGAGTAACATTTTTATTATTTGTCCATATCTCGAAAGCTCTGCTACCTTTTACCTTTAGTTCAGTAGAGATTGGCAATTACAGGGTTGAAATAATCCAAATGACCCGAGTGACGGCATATGGTGTGTAAAAACACAATGGAGCACTCTCTGTATTACCACATGACATCACAAGTGTGTTTTCAGTTTGAGAGAAGAACAGCCTAAATATGCAGGGTTTGTGTTAAACATGTGAATGAAACTGAACACAATTCCAGGTATCAGAGAAGCAATATGAACCCTTTTTACCCAAACAGCATTTTTCAATAGCCTATTTCTCTGTAAGATTTTAGATGTAACTTGGTCTCTTACCCTGCGTTTGTTTAATTTCCGACTCTCACTTGGACCTCAGACTTGACGTCACATCTGAGCTTGAAGTGTATTATTATGTTACGCGTGTCGGACTACGTGGATTATCAGTATGACTATGCTGTATGAATGAATGCGGACGTTAACGCCCTTTAAATTAAGTATTTGTTCAATACTGACCTCACTACCACACCGACTACCACACCCATAGGCAGGATATGGATGCAGTAAGGTAGAATCACATTCAAACGAGTGACTGAAATTGTCATTTAAACCACCATCCGTCCAAACACAATGACAACTCTTCATATTTACATGTCACAGTGGGCGCAGCTATCTCGGATTCTGACTCAAAATCCTCGCTCAGTCTACTTTTTCTGCCACCGAGGTCCGAGTTGCGCTGTCTCAGGAAAAGGGGCGTATTACGCAGGGACACTTCCTCGGAAAAATGATTTGGAAGGATAATCGAACTGAGGGTTACTAGACCAGGAAAGCCGTAGCATCCGAGTGGGCAAAAAAAGAAAATAAACTTTGAGCTCTTACCCTTTTTAACTGGCCACACTATGAGCAGCTCTGACAGCACCTCCCCAGATCAGATAACAGGAAACAACCACAGTGACACAAAAGCCCCATTATGTAACATGGCCTGAACTACTAAGCCCCAGACACAGGTAAATTTAAAGTTAAAACCATTTCCTTCCCAAGCAGCACTTTGCAAAGTTCAAATCAGGGCGATGGTGTACACCTAAAAAAGGGTGCGCCTCCAAATCAACGCCTCCGTCAATCACCTGATAAGTAAGGGTGTGGTCTACAGCTCCCTCCCGTCCCACATAAAAAAGATAATGTTTTTTATCATTTCAACAAATATATGACTTATGTCTGTGGGTTTCTCCTGAGTCTGAAGCTAAAAAAGGCCTCCACATCCTGGTTCTTGCCCTCTACATGTTTACCTTGGCCCTTCCTTGTCTCAGTTTGTTAACTCAGGCTTTGTTTAGTTTACGATTGCCAAAATTTGTCATTGATCATAACTGATGGCTTAATGTTTCACAATCGCTCGGACTTTTCATACAACTAGAAGCACTAATGAGTTAACACTTGACCTTCTTTAGAGAGAGCCTAGAATCAGATCTAGAGTCTAGAGCGGCTCTAGTCCTGGTTTATTCTTGAGCTAGTCTTGCTCTAGATCTGCTCTAGTCCTGGTTTAGTTCTGATCTAGACCTGCTATAGTCCTGATTTAGACCTGCTCTAGACCTTCTCTAGTCCTGGTTTAGTCCTGATCTAGATTGGCTCTAGTTCTGGTTTAGTTATGATGTAGACCAGCTATAGTCCTGATTTAGTCCTGCTCTAGACCTGCTCTAGTCCTGGATTAGTCCTGATGTAGCCCTGCTCTAGTCCTGGTTTAGTTCTGATCTAGACCTGGTATAGTCCTGGTTTAGTCCTGATGTAGCCCTGCTTTAGTCCTGGTTTAGTTCTGCTCTAGACCTGCAATAGTCTTCATCTAGATTGGCTCTAGTTCTGGTTTAGTTTTGATGAAGATCTGCCTTAGTCCTGGTTTAGTCTTGTTCTAGACCTGCTCTAGTCCTGGATTAGTCAAATAAGGCACAATTTGTTTATGTACAAGTAAAATCTAGTAAATACAAAATATACCAGAGCGATCAAAGCTGTATACAAGATGTCCGAATGTAGACCTGTTCTAGTCCTGGTTTAATCCTGATCGAATCCACGTTTAGTTCCAGGTTTAGTCTTAGTATGTTTACACACGTGACTAAGATTCATTTTTTTAATTTAAATTTTTGTTGTTATTTAACTCCAGAAAACTCCAGAGCAACGTCCAAAACATGAACGACTTGTCCTCATTTTTAAATTTACAGTACCACCTGATCCAGCTTTTTCAGTTCTGATACCGATATCGATACTTTGATCTAAGTGTCTGCCAATAAACAGTATTAACCAATACCGGAATAGGGATAGAAAATGAAAATGGCACTTATTTCCTTAAAACACAGTTCACTCACAGTGTCTGCGTACACTGGTGTGTGAATGTGTGTGTGAATGGGTGAGTGGTTCCTTGTTGTAAAGCGCTTTGAGCACCTTGAAGGTGGAAAAGCGCTATAGAAAAATGTGACCATTTACCATTTACCATTCACTCATGACACAAGAAATTCAATTGTGTGATGCAACTGTCATTTATCCTTCACATCACGACTAAACAGCGTCGTATAAAAATAAAAAAGCTCAGATATTATGAGACGTTCTAGACTAAATATTTTTATTACATCCCTGTTTTTTTGGTTTGTTTTTTTAATGTTCAAGGTGTGCTCTGTCTACGTCAAAAAAAAAAAAAAAAAAAAAGTGCAAACCAAGGTTCAAAGCAAAGGGTGGCTATTTAAAATTTTTGTTTTGAGTTTATCATTTGTTTATCATTTGTTTATTAATAGTTCATTATATTAATAGTCTCATTAATAGATTTGATGCCTTCATTGAGAATCTACAACGTAAATAATCTTGGAAATAGAAAAGAAACATAAATAAATTAAAATGTGTCCAAACTTTTGACTGTGACTTTTGAATGCGTACTTCCTGTCTCATTTGTGCACTGGCTTTGTGATTAAACTCTTTTATATATCTTTTTTTTTTTTTTTTTTACATTTTATTTCATCACCAACAAAGCAGCTCCATGAAGTTATTATGATGTATAACAGCCTTTTATGATTACTTCTGACATTTTTATTGCATTTTAATATTAGTCATTTAAGTGTTTGATCTGTCGTGAATAATTAAACATTTTTCTTTATATGAAGCCTTAATGATAATATTTGGATGACTGTTTAATCTGCGTTTGTATTTCCTTTCGGATATTCCAACGATTTAAGTTTGGTGTGACTAATTAAACATCTTTCTTTATTTGAAACTTATATTGATTATCGTTGGATGAATGTTTAATCTACGTTTGTATTTTCTTTTGGACATTCAATCAATTTAAGTCTGCTGTGACTAATTAAACTTCTTTCTTCCTATGAAACTTTTGGATGAATGTGTAATCCACCTTTGTATTTCCTTTTCCCTGTTCCTGGTTCTTGCCCTGCTTGACCTGTTTGGGGCATCAGGGAGGGGTATATAAGAAAAGGTGGTGGGTCCTCTCTCACCTCTTTGCTTTGACCACATGCTAACAACATGTGCTGCAGTTGGGTGTTGGCTTTAAGCTTTTTAATTACTTTAGGTATTAAAAATTAGACACATATTTTTATTAGTTAGTTAGATTTAATTTTAAATTTATATAATTCCTTAATTTTTTTGTTTTTCTCAATAGCTTTGGAGTCTGATGGATTGACACCTGGAGAAAGCAAAACTTGTAAGTACTGACCATATTTTAAAGCTGCACTGTGTAACTTTTCATCTGGGGATACGTCACCTTCCTGTTTTTACCAGTCTGTTATTGCTCTGCTTTGAATGTTCCACAGTACGACATTAAACAGATTCACTTTACGTTTATGCAGTTATAGGTTGATTTACTGTTCAAAAATACATTAAAAACAGGCATTCTGACTGTGAGCAGGGTCGCCTCTCCACAGATCTGACCTGTAACTTGGTCTGGTTTGGTCTCCATGAAGATAGAAAGGTTTAATATGATACTGTGAAACAATAAGGACAAAGCATTTGGCAGACCCTCCACCAGAAAAGTTAAAGAATGCACCTTAACTCCATATTAGATCACTTTAGATTTGAAACTAATTGGGTTAATCACAGCTAGTTGATGATTGAAATGATCAAGAGCTAATGTAGTCTGTACTTGTAATGCAGTCTGTACTCAAGTGACATAAGCTTTCACATAGGTCGAATTTATTTAACATTTTCATCCACCAGGTTTAAATGATTTAAAGATTAACTGATTACTCTAAAAAGTACTTGACATATATGAAAATCTGACTCTTGTGAGCTTTAAATCACGTTATAATGTTACCTCATCAAAAATAGACCTTTGTTTCATTCACACGTTTGAGTCTGTCTACATCTCCAAAGCTCAAAATACTAAAGTCATGCAGTAATACAGTGTTTTAAACTTCATACACCTTCACTAGAATCATTTTGATATTTCAGCCCTGGAATTCAATCAATCAATCAAACTTTATTTATAGAGTGCTTTACAGTGATTAAAAACAATTCAATATTTCCACATTTCCTTCCACCCCCTGCTCTGATTGTCTCTTGGTCTCAAGGTCTACACACCACCCTTTTAAAGCTTGAAGTCTCTCAGAGATGTTATCCATACTGCACTCCAAGGCCAAAGTCCTGTCCATTCTGCGATCAGTCACCGTTAACTTTTCCATGATGTTTTCCAACATGCGGTGCGAGGCAGCCCCACCTTCCAAAATATGGCTCATAGTCACAGTTTATGAGTTCATAGCTTTACCTCCACTTTCAATTAGACCGGGCAGCCAAGTGGGGCTTTGAAGAGCCGCCTCAGTAATCGAACTTTTCAAAAAATTAGGGCCATGCCTGAGCCAATCAGCAAAAGACCTGTAATCATGGTACCGAATAGGTAGATGTCTTCTATGTCCTCCATAGAGAGAGCTGCCAGGCACACGACTAGCCAGTTCTGCCAACCGTCCATTGTGTACCCTGTGGGGAAAGTAATATGGGGACAAGCAGGTTCGCCCGTCCCTGAGCTTCTCGTAGAAAAAATCGTGTCAGTTGCATTGAGTGACCAAGTTATCAAATCCATAGTTAATTTGGGTTCAGAGAGCAGAGTGGAGAGAATGTCTCAAAGTATAATTGCCAATCTCTACTGAACAAAATGTAAAAGGAGCTGTGGATTAAACAAAACCCAAATCCAGGTATGTTTTTGAGGACACAACCCCGTTATATATAATATGGCTTAAAGCTCACAAGAGTCTGTTTTGTGTAATTTAGGACCTCTAAATGCCGTGTTATTATTATTTGCTTGTATTAACTGTTATCTTGGTGCCATATTTGAGTCCTGTTTGTTGTATCCAGACACCTGCAAGACCTTTGGCAGTGGGGTCGTACAGCCTTTCAATGGGACCCTTTTCCACGTTCGCTCGAATTGCCCCTTCACCCTCACCAGTTTCACCCACAACAGAGTGGACAGTACCATCACCACGAGGAGGGGGGTGAACGGGCTCCTGGAACAGGTCGAAATCACGGTCAACAAAGTCACGACCATTTTACAGAATGGAAGTGTCCAGGTGGAGGGAAAAAGGTAAGGCACGTGTTGAATCAGTGTTTTGTGATTAATTTTTCTGAAATAGCTTGGCATTTCTTCTGAATTGACAAATGAGTATTACACTGTTTTCTAATCTATGTTATTAATAATGTTGTTTCATTCACACATGTTTAACACAGAAACCCTGCATATTTAAGATGAGTTTTTGTCTCAAGCTGAAAACTTTGTTCCACCCTGTGATGTCATGTGGTAATACAGGAAGTGCTTCACTGTGTTTTTAACTCCATACAACAGGGGTCACCAAACTTTTTTCTCTGGGGGCCACTTTATCCCTCCTAACTGTAATGGGAGCTGGGTTCAGGTCGGCTGTATAACAGAATTGTTTGACCCTGACAACGCAGATTATATTCTTTGAAAACTGCCACACTTTCTTTACATATTGGACAAACTGCACGGTCCTTACACTGAATAACAAAATAATCGGTCGTCCAATGTTCTTTGAAAACTCTGCACTCTCTGTCGAGTTTTTGTATTTTATTAGTCGCCACTTTGCTGTTCTTAACTGCACTGCTGAACTCTGAGTGTGCGTTGAATGTCACTGTTTGATCTCGAGCTTGTCAGGTGATGAAAATTCGGCAGCAAATTCGGCTGCAAATGTAAACACATCATATAATTATTTTAATATAAATACTTCATATAATTATATTTTTTAATTGAAAAATCTGCAAAATACAAGGTGCAGACATGTTATTACTTGCCAAAAAGTAATAAAAAAAAAAAACTGGCCATGGCAACTTTTGAGGATTGCCTCATAGGGCCAGTTCAAGAGGTGGGGGCAGCGGGGCTGGAGGGCCGGTCAAAGGGGTGTGGAGGGCCGGATTCAGTTTGCGGGCCTTAGTTTGATGACCCCTGCCATACACCTTCACTAGAATCATTTTGATAATTTCATCCCTGGAATTGCCAAACTTTACTGAACAAAAGATAAAAGGTACTAAGGCGACTCAAACATACGTGAATGAATCAAAACACATCTCCAGGTATGTTTTTGAGAAGAAAACAGTATTATAACATGGCTTAAAGCTCGCAAGAAGCAGTGTTAGTGTAAGTAAGTTGGTTGAACTACAAAGAAAATAAGTTGTGTTCATGACATTGTAGAATTTTAGATCATAAGGTCATCACGAGGGCAGGGCCACATATAACTCTATGGGAGATTTATTGATTTGGAAAGTAATATCTGATTGTAAAACGCACATATGTTTTTCATTTTTTGTCAGCGATTGCCTCCACAAAATTATCACATTAATTTTGTTGCTCAGAATTCTTTTTAACTGACAAAAAAATGTGTATTTATACCAGTTATCCTGCTGTAGTTCTGGCTAAATCTGATCTTTCTGGTCAGACTCTGTTAAAGTTTAATCTAGTAAGTAAGTAAGAGAGCTTCAGATAGAGCAGTGCCTTCAATTAGCTTCACACCCTCAGGGAACGTTTTTGATGTCAGCTGCCAAGTATCAATAGTCATAGAGATTAGCTTTGTTTCACTGTGACCCATTACCCAGCCCCACCTTAAAATGTCCTTGTAAAAGTTGTGCTAACTTCTGTTTGCCAGTGTTCGTTTACCCTATGACCACACATACCAGCACATATTTCCCTTTGGCATCTACACCAAGCTGAGGAGTTCTGTGATCCCACTCTCGGTCGTCTGGCAAAATGTCCCTGGAGGAATTGGCAAATTATGGGTGAGACAAAAAACAAGATTATTACTGAGGCCTACAATTATATATATTGTAATTAGAATTTTATTTTTAAAGGGACTGTTCGGAATTTTGGACATAGGACCTTATTTCCTAGTGAGCCAGAGTGTTGGAGACATGTGGAGACACTTTTTAAAATATTCCATCCACTCCTTGTATTTGCAGAGGTCGCTGGTGCTAGGCTAGTGCATGTGAATGGTCATAGTTAGCCTGTCACTAAAAACAGTCTACCCACTCCACAAAACACCTGAAGCAAATCTATTATTATGCCAGACTGCCGATGTAAATGTCTGTGTTGATAGAATAATGTTTGAAACAAAACCAACTTTGCATCGCATGAATCGGCATATGTTGAGGGACTATTTTCTCATACGTCAGTCCGCCGCTGCCAAGCTTTCTATCAGGAAGTACAACTCGCTGCTGCTGCTCAGACATAAATCCTTCAAATGCAAGGTTGATTTTACTTCTAAAATTATTCTATCGACACAGACATTAACATTGACAGTTTGTCATTATAATTGTTTTGCTTCGGGTGTTTTGTGGAGTGGGTAAGGCTGTTTTTAGTGGCAGGATAACTATGGCCATTGACATGCACTAGCCTAGCACCAGCAACCTCTGCAAATACAAGGACTGGATGGAATATTTTAAAAAGTGTCTCCACACGTCTCCAACACTCTGGCTCACTAGGAAATAAGGTAATGTTAGGTCTGCCTAAACATTGTAAACAAGAAGAAAGACAAGAGATTAATTCAGTTTTACTCGCGAGGAGAACGGGCAGAGAGTGGGCATCAGACCAACAGTCTCCACACGTTCTGATGACTCAAAGCCGCTCTCCTCTTTTTATTTCATTAGGAGGCCCTAGTTACAGAAGGATAATTCTCAAGGGGAAGGGGAAACAGCCAAGACATAATAAGAAACTGGTGCAGCTAAGCATAGTACAAACACATAAAACATGATTAACAATCAGGAGGTGCCTTAGGTCAGACACCATCATAACTCTTACATGTGTGACAGTGGGAGTTGGCTTCATGTGAGGAATCATCTCGAGGTTCACTAGAGCGACAGGACACTGCACACAGTTGTCAAACACAAAGAGGTTATTCATTTTTATACAAGTGATTGGTCAAGTATTTAGCAAATATGGGATAATAAAATTATTCTGACAGGTAACATGAGAAATACTTTGAGCATTTACTCATAGTTTTACTTTAGTTAAGTGGCAGTTTGTGTGGGGGGGGGAAGAGTTAAGAGGAAAACTACAAAAATCCATAAAGTAGTGCTGAGTTCTAAAACAGCAGAATACATGTTTTTCTGACAGAATTAACATGAATGAAACAAAATAGAAGTGTTTCTCATCTACTAGTATTTTTTATCAGTCTAATCATAATATTTGTGTAATTTAGTCAAGTTTTGGCTTTTGAAAAACATTATGGTTGCTAGGTAACAGTTATGGAAATACCTCTATATAAGTTATATGTATCTGCTGCTCCAACCAGGAAATAAAATAATAAACTTAACATAAAACAATACAAATCAAAACTATAAAAATCTAGGCAGGATTTTTAGGAAATCTTAAGTATACTGATGTTAAATATGTTTTAGTATTGGTCTAATCTGTTATATACACTTTAAGGTTGAGGTTGAACAAGAGCTGGATTCTGACATGGAAGGACTTTGTGGAAATCACCTCAGACGCATCACCGGTAAGACATATTTAGATTTTAGCAGGTGTTGGTTGGTCACTTGATTTAAATTCTTGGTGTAAATTTGAAATGTGCTTTTGTTTTGTTTTTTTCCCAGCTGGCAACATAAAGGAGTTGATTTCACAAAGCGTTCTGCGTGAAGGAACATGCAAAATATGGGATCCAGCCTCTACTATGAACAAGGTTTTTAATCCTTTATTATTATTAGTCTGTCTACATCTCTGAAGCTCAAAATATTCAGTTCCACCTCGTGATGTCATGAAGCTGAAGTTTTCATGTTAACAGCTATGTTTTGCATTTTGCTCAGTAGTGACAGGCAATAGTGGAGCCGTTAAGGACCAAAATAGTTCAAGCATGAACCTTTGCCAGATTATTAACAGAGGAGAAGGTCAGAGGAGCAGAGGAGAGGGTTTGAACAACAGAGGAGAGAGTCAGAAGATTTACTGTTAAAAGTTTCTAATAATAAATTACAACCAAAAAGTTACACGGTATCGGTTGCTATGGTAACGCCACAATGGTAACAGCACTATGGTAACACACAACATAACACACACCAACACGTAATCATGATAACGGTTGCCATGGTAATAGTTGCTATGGTAACAGTTGCTATGGTAATGGTTCCTATGGTAACAGCTGCTATGGTAATGGTGACTATTGTAACAACTGCCATGGTAACGTTCGCTATGATAACATTCACTAAGGTAGCGTCACTAACGTAGCATCTGGATAAATAATTACGTTTTCCCAATTTAAAAAAGTTGATATTTGCTCAACATTTTACAGTGATGATATGAGTTTGATTTTTGATCTAATGAAAACTCCACCTGACACTGAAGCATGGCACACCTCTCATTTGGGCTCCGCGCCTGAGCTCATGCTAAAACTGGGAGCAAGATATGACTCATAGTGTGTAACATTTTAGGTATAGCAATAACAAGTCAGTCAAGCAGGTGACGGACTCTCCACCAGAAAAGTTACATAGTGAAACTTTAAAGGATTGTTTATTTATTTACAAACTTTGTTCCTTTTTCATAGGATTGCAGAAAGTTTTTATCTCAAACTGTGGACTGCCTGACGCAAATGACCCCAGATTATATAAAACTGTGTGAACAAAATATTTACAACTCTGAACAAAACGAGTATGTCAGATGCTCCTTCTTTCAAGAGGTGATCCAACAATGTGGAGAACACAGCCACATAGCCGAGCAGTGGAGGGACATAACACATTGTAGTGAGTTTTTAAACCAATCAATAATCAATAATTCATTTTTAACAGCTGGAAATTAATTTGAGTGTTGCTTTTTTTGTTTTAGGTGAACCTAAGTGTCCTGGTGAGTTGCTTTATGAGGAGAAGGGTGCAGCGTTTATTCCTAGTTGCTCAAATCCAAAAATCGACAGCCAAGAAGTCACCAGCTCCTGTGTCTGCCCCAACGGTAAGAAATTACACATCATTTTAAATACCAATATGAGAAATACACGTTGTAGCCTGATGTTAAAGAATTAGTCAGACTTGCATTACAAAACATGCTCTTATGCTATATTTTCTTATATCTATTTGAAGCAATTTCCTTTTTGCAATATATATAAGATAAGAATTTATTGATAATGAGATGAATAGTCGAAGTAAATTAATCAAAACACTGACAGAAATTTAACAGAAAATAATACAACTTGCAGCTTGTGATAAGATAAAGTAATGTGAGTAGATAATATTATAAAACCATGATTAGTTTGACTATGGGGAAAAATCAAGAGACTTGCGCAAATGTTATGCAATGTACAAAAGTTTCATAATATATTTTGAATACAAATAACAGTTAGAAGAGGAAAAACTATAAGATTATTACTACAAAAAAAAAAGTTGAATGAATCACTATGAATCACTATGTTCTGATTATGTATTTTTTAATTAACTGAAAATTTTACATTTATTTATCATTTTCTTATTATTACTTTAAATGAAATGCTTTTAAACTATAGATCTGGTGCTTGACGACCATCAGGAGGGCTTCCATTGTGTGAATACATACAGCTGCTCTTGTGTGTTTGGAAATAGCCGTTATGAACCTGGAGAGATACGCAGCAACACAAGAGAAACATGGTAAAATAATGTGGAAATTATACGTCAAATGTGCAATGAGTTTAATTATAATTTTATATTTTATATTTATTGCAGTTTATGTTCTGACGGAGAATGGAAATGTACGAGCCATGATCTTCCATCTGTTTGTGTGATAGAGGGGAACTTTGTCACTACTTTTGATGGGAAGAGATACACAGTGGGCAGTGGGTGTGCATTTGTGGCTTCACAGGTACAATTTAGCTTTTCGGTTATTTTCCAGTATTTGAAAACATTGAATTTTGTAAGCATAAATATTGTTCCTTGCAGGGTTCAGACTGGAAAATAGTAATAGAGTATGCAGTTAAAGCAACCTCTATGAACTCTGTGGATCTTGACATTTTTGAGGTACTAAAAATGACAGTAATTGCATTAATTATCATAATAATTATACTATTTTTTATTTATGTGCACATTCATGTGTCATTTATAGGAAAAATACAAATTTGCCAACAACAAGGTTACATTTGATGGCAAGGAGATCTCTGACCTTCATGAGTCTGGTGAGGAACATATCTATTTATCTGTCTATCTGTCTATGGGGCTGTTGAGTGATCATGTCATTTATCTACTTCCGGGTCCCGCCTCATTCATTATAATGACATTTTAATAATAATAATAATGTCTTACACTTCACTTCACACAGTTATTATTCATTCACTCTACAGTTGGTTGTTGTATAACTATTGTAGCCACAGCTGCCAGTCTGTGTCATTGGCCCCTCCAACCAACACCAGTCATTCAGACATTCAGGCAAGCGGGTGAAGTGTCTTGCCTAACGACATACTCTCAGAATTTGGTCTGAGCAGGAATCAATCCTCTGACCTTCAGGCTACAGGACTACTGCCCTAACCACTGAGCCACTGTTGCTCCTTATTTGTAAATGTATACCAGGGCTCTGTACAGTTTACACAATTTATCAGATAATCTTTACCACTGTAAATCTAAGCCTTCCTTTGGAAAAATAAGTACTGATATGTAGGGATGTAACGATATCCAAATCTCTTGGCAAGATATTATCACAATATGCATCTCACGGTAAGATATTCATTACGATATTTTGGAGAGGCTAATATAATTGTAGATAGGAAACTTTTTTGCTATTAAAATACCTTGACAAGATTTTGATGTGAATTATTTCCATCATAATCCCTAAAATTAAAGTAAAAAAGATATTTTTTCATGTTGTTTGCCCTGAAATGAATCTTGGGATATGTAGTTCCTGATGTTTATAAGCTGTTGCTACTATAAAACCATGCATTTAAGCAAAGGAACTTGTGATTTGATATTTGATATTACTGTAAGATTTTTGACAATACGATATCAAAATATTTCGGTTATTGTTACATCCCTACTGATATGTCTTTAAGGTGAGACATTACAGAGACACAATTTTTTTTTACAAATGAAATCATGCATTTCTTGTAAAACAAATGCTATGGTATTTTCACATGAAGTATTTCACTTTACTTTGTTGGGACAATGTCAGTCCTGGTTGTTCAGACAAAGTCCCTGTTTCTACAGATTTGCAAACTCACAACTGTTGGATCTGAGAAGTCACATGTAACAGCCCCTTACATTCTACTATATATTTGTATTATGTGTCTTTTTTTCAGAGCATGCCTTGGTTTTCTGGCAGTCTTCCATGTTTGTTGAAGTCTACACAGCTTTTGGACTCAAGCTACAAATCCAGATGTCTCCAGAAATTCATCTCTACATCAGCCCCCCTTCAAACTACAAGTGACACAATCTCTGGTGAGGCAGATTTAACAGTATTGTAATGTAAATTTGGTGGTGTGCGTTTCCTTCATGCCTGCTTCAGTGCCCAAAAGGTATGCAGTGGTTTATAATAGTGATACATTGAGTTAATGCATTATTTCATTACAAGTAAGTTAAAGGTATGGTATGCCAGAAGTAACTTTTCTAGTGGAGGCTCTGTCAGACCCTTTTCTCCATGGAAATGCGTTTGCTTTGTCTGGAATGTTTCACAGTATTAAATGTTTTTATCTTCATGAAGACCAATCCAGACCAAGTTACAGGTCAGATCTATGGAGTGGCAACCCTACTCATAGTCAAAATGCTTGTATATGTTATTATATTATCTGTTTGTTTGTTTTTTTTGTATTTTTGAGCAGTAAAACCACCTGTAATATTATAAATGTAAGATAGAGCTCCAGGCAGAGGAAAGACATGTCCATAGATACAAGCAGGTTACTGACCCTCCACCAGAAAAGTTACATAATGCCCTGTATGTGAAAGAATTCTGAATTGCTCATAAGGAATGAAAGATAGATTGAGTGGTTTTCTGTGTACAGAAGCATGTCAAAATATTTATTCCCAGAAATGTATTTTTGTTCAGGTCTATGTGGAAATAACAATGGAGACACCACAGACGACTTCAGGACAAACACTCGTATTATTGAAAACTCGCCTCACCTGTTTGCTCAGTCCTGGAGTGTCAGTCCTTGTAACAAACTGAATCCTCCTCCTCCATGCATAAGAACTGAATACGGTACGTAATGGAAAAATATTGATTATCTTTCGTGTCCTATAAACTGCTGTCTTTATAATTGCCAAATGTCAATCTTTAAAGTGTATGTTAATGACTGTAAATGTAAATTGATTCCTCTCATCAAAAACATGCCTGAAGAGGTGGAGGAGGGGATGTCATCCATGCACGTTTGAGTATTTTAATATTTTATATCCATTTAGGAACCTTCCTTACAGTTAGCAGTAAGCTTCTGTCCAGTGCACAAACCTACGTCGTCCATGCTCCACACAAAAATTACCCATAAATAAACAAAAACATAATACAAAACAGTACACACCAACTTGATAAACCTAATGTGCAGTAATTTCATAAGGGGGATACACACTGAATTTGTTGTGATAGCACTCTGAAGGGGGAGTGACTTAGCACAGAGGGCCTCAAAAACTGAAACTTATAAAGCATGTTAATATGTGGCTTTCAGCGAATTGAGCGAATATATATAATTTTCTCCACTGGAGCAGAGAAAATTTCAGCGATCAGTGATACAAAATGTCAGTATAATAATTACTGTGACAGGCACGGAAGCCATCACACATGCACTAGAGTTTAAACATTTAAACAAGTTTAACAGTATTTAAAACATTGTTTGTTTTTCTTTTTAACAGAAATCTTTGCTGAGAAGAAATGCTCTGTTTTAAACGATCCAACTGGAATATTTGCTGCATGTCACGGCGATGTCCCAACTGACAATTATTTCATGGTGAGAAGATAATTCTTTTAAAGTCCTGAATTCTATGTTTATACTGTATACGAATGGCAGAGGTGGGACCAAGTCGTTGTTTTGCAAGTCTCAAGTAAGACTCAAGTCTTTTACCTCAAGTCCGAGTCAAGTCCCAAGTCAAATACAGGCAAGTCCAAGTCGAGTCTTGAGTCACTGGCCCATAAGTCCAAGTCAAGTCCAAGTCGTCTGCTTTGAGCTTCAAGTCATTTCAAGTCTTTAAACCTTTAAACCAAAGAACCAGTAGATTTTTGTAATTTATATGAATTTTAAACTAAATTGTACTTAAAAACTAATAATTTATTTATATATGAGTATTTATATAAGAGTTGTAGAAATGTAAATTTTTCCAATGTCTTGTCTTGTCAATGTCAATGTCTTGACAAGATCTTAGGGTGAATCATTACGGTCAGAACAGAAAGAATTCAGATTTAAAAGTGCTTCTCAAGTCACAGGCCTCAAGTCTGAGTCATGTCCCAAGTCACTGACCTTCAAGTCCAAGCCAAGTCTCAAGTCCTAAAAATAGTGACTCAAGTCTGACTCAAGTCCAAGTCAGGGCTTGCAAGTCCCATGGGCTCTGACGTAGACCTGGTTTAGTCCTGGTCTAGTCTAGGTTAAGTTCAGGGTTTATAAGTGGGCAACACAGGCTATGTTATGGTAGGTTTGGTAGGTCAGTGTGCTTCAATATAGAAAATACCTGTAAAAGTCTGTAAAAGTGTTTCCTAACTGATAAATAAACCTAGACTTAGACAAACTTTATTGATCCACAAGTAAAATTATTTGGACACAGCTGCTCACACATCACAATGTATTATAATAACAAAGAGTACAAATATAAATGGTAATAATAAATAATTCAATATAACCAGCAAACATGGCAAGAGACTAGTGTCAAATAAGACGTAATTATAGAAATATATATGTACAAGTAGCAAGAGGTCATGAGGAGAAACAGTGCAAAGATGGAATAATGATTGACAGGACATAGGGTACCTATTATACCTGTTAGCTGGGTTATCTGTTATGTATAAAGTTATTTTGAGTCCATTGGTGATGTTTTTTCCCTTTCAGGCTTGTGTGGAGAGAACCTGCACCTGTGGCTCTGACCTGCACCAGTGTCTGTGCTCTGCTCTGTCCAGTTATGTCAAAGCCTGCTCTGCTCTCGGGGTGGAGGTGGGGGACTGGAGGAAGGCCACCAACTGCTGTAAGTTTCACCGTAACTAAATGCATATCCAAAGCACTTATAACTTAATTAATTTTAGGGTCCCATATTGTGCAAAACCGACTCGTGTGAGTTTTTAGCTGTGTTCTAATGCAGATACCTCCTCAAAAACATACGTGAAGTTGTGTTTTGTTTCATTCACATGTGTTTGAGTAACTCATTATTATTATTAGTCTGTTAACAGCCACCCTTTCTTTTCTGTTCTGTGGAAATGGGCAATTCCAGGGCTTAAATGATCCAAATAATTCTAGTGAAGGTGTATTGAGTTTAAAAACACAGTAGAGCACTTCCTGTATTATCAGTGCTTTCCATTTGACAAAAGAACCTAAATATGAGAGTCTAAATACGCAGGATCTGTGTTAAACATGTGTCAGTGAAACAAAACACAACTATGTTTTTGAGGAGAAAACAGGGTAATATTTTAATTTACATTTTAGCTTACTTTATATATTATTATTGTTGTATTTTCATTTATCTTATTTTGTTACACTTCTGTTTACTTGTTGCATAAAGTTTGTCCAAGTCTAATCTTGATTTGGTCACACATGTCACATAATTGTCACATTGCGCTGACACTCAATCCAACCAATGACAGTCTGAAGTCAAGCCGATTAATCTTTCTTGAAATTATTAAAGTATTATTTTCCAATTAATATAAAGGGCAGCAGTAACTAAGTAAGTAGAGGTGCTTGCCATATAACTGAAAGATTAGTGGTTAAATCCCAGTGTTGCATAATCAGGATAACCATGTTTTGCCTTCAGATATTGCTCTGGTTTGGTCCTAGTTTAGATAGACTGATAGCTAGATAGGCACTTTATTGATCCAGAGGGAAATTCAATTTTGTTGCAGCAACATTTACACTGCGCTTCTCAGTGGCCTTTGTGTCTCAGTTAAAAGTCTCAGTGCAGTTTAACTGGAAGACTGGTCAGGGAGGGTCAGCCGATCTTGTGTCAGGGCAGTTTGAGGAGAGGAAGAGCCAAAAGTGTTCCTCCTCTGTGTCCTGCAGCATCACAACAGTGTCAAAGAGGAACAGCAGGTGGACATAACATGTCAGTAACTCTCTTCTAAGCTTCATTTTCACTCTGCTCTGTTGTTACGGTTAATGATGAAATTATCCATTCCTTCGAAGTATTTCTTCTGGAAGGTCTTCTGCCTACATTTTCTGCCCACATTTGGTGTAAAAAGGCTGTAGGATCTTAATGGCCCATAGCTAGCTCCTTGCACAATATCCAAGTAGTTTAAGCTCAGTTTAGTTCTGATGTTGACTCGGTTTGGTCCAAGTTTAGCCAGGGTCTAGTCCAGGTCCAGTTTTAATTATGTGTTGTTGAAGAATGTATAAAAAAAAACTAATGCAAAGAACGAAATCTTCCAAAAGATACAGGAATACTGAGGAATACATAGACAAGAAAAAGGGCGAACTCATTTATCCCACTGTATAATGTAGTTATTTATTTAGCACTACAAATGTGTACTTATAGCAGATCATGTGATCTGTAGTTGAGTGTTCTCTAATTCTTAATCATTTAAATTCTCTGTGTTGTTGTGTTGCAGCGGTGGAGTGCCCGGGGAACCAGGAGTTTTCCTATAATGTTGTGGCCTGTAACAGCACCTGTCGGTCCCTGTCAGGCCCTGACCTGTGCTGTCTGCTGGAGGACGCTCCAGTGGAGGGCTGTGGATGTCCTGAAGGAACCCACCTGAACAAAGATCTCATCTGCAGCCCCAAGTCTCAGTGCGAGTGCCACTACAACGGAGGCTCCACCCCCCCCCGGGCCTGCTGTTATCGACGGGCGACAGTGGTGAGCTGAGCATGGACTTAAAAGCAAAAAAATGTGTATTAATTTTTAGATACTAAAAAATAAACTACATATAAACTGTTGCTGTTTTATGTCACCGTGTTTTTTTTTTAGTTTTTTCATGTAGCTGGTCATGACTAGTGATCTGTTTGTTTTGCAGTTTTTGTGAAGATGGAGAATTGAAGTGTTCAGATGATTGTGGTAAATCATATGCACACTCATACATGCTTTAGAAGATTTATGTTATACTTTATGATAAATGCTTTTTTTATGTTGTTTTAAAATAACTTTCATCAGGATGCACAAATGGGAAAGTCTGTGTTCACTGCTCGGATTTTAAAGTGAACACTCTTCAGAAAACCTGTGGCAGTCTCAGCAAACCCACAGTAAGTATTAGCAAAGGTATTAGACTGCTAAATATATGGATTCTTATATTTTGCAACTCAGTTGTATCAGTAAAATACTTACGATGTTTCTTGGTATTTCTATGAAATGTACAGATGGGTCCGATTGTCCAAATTATTTTGATCATAATCATATCATAATCATTGTATGGCAAACCATCGGATATTAGCTAAAAGATGCTGGTAAATGTCATGGGTAAAGATGAAATATCGCAGAAAAAACATGAATGAACTGTATTTTCAATCTCGTTTTATAGTTTTTAATGCAGAGAGTATACTTCATTTTGCTGTTGTTACATTTTCACTATGTCTCCCACCTCTAAGTTCAACTGATGTTAATAAAGAAATTATTATTACTTGATTTTTAATTATATTGATTAAATGTTTGCCTTTTAATGTTCCAGACTTCTTCTTGTGAGAGCGGCTGTTACTGTCCAGTTGACCAGTTTGAGAATCATCATGGAGACTGTGTGCCTTTGGACAACTGCACCTGCTCCTACAGTGGAAAAGTTTATAATGCAGGAGAGACGGTCAAGAGCTCCTGTACATCATGGTACTAATCTGTGTTTACAGCTACAGGGTTTAAGGTTATTTCTAAGGCAATAGGTTCAATTCATAATTAAATTTAACATTTTATCATTTCTGATGGAGGACAGTGGCTTTTGTATTATTCTATGGGTTCAGTTCAGTTCACAAAGTTCCCATTTCAATTTTTTCGTCCTTCTGTAGTTAAAGTAATTTCATCTGACAACAATCAATCATACTATAATGTTTGAAAAAAGGACCTTCTATAGTTAATACAACAGTGAAAAAAATTAATTTTTTATACAATTTACAGTTTTCAGTACAGTATTTCATAGGTTCATTGTGATCAAAATCAGTTTTGATCAACTCCTTTGTTTTTACTTAAAAAATAAAAATAAAAATATTCTACTGAAAAAAATATTAACATTAACACACACATTGCACACATTACAACTTTACATTGACATTAATTTTGCAATTTGTGACACTTTTTGTTTCATCAAGAGGATAATTTGAGTGATATTAACCATAAAGCAAATCAAAACATCTGCATTTGGAGAGTTAAAAGGCAAATTCTACCATACTATTCTGACCTGTCCTCCAGCTCAATGTTAAACTACGAGTAGTTTTGAATTTTTCTGATGCCAAATAAACCTAATAAATATGTATAATTAAAGCAAAAATGTATGTATTTTTCAGTGTGTGCTCTAATGGCCAGTGGCAGTGCACAGATGAACCGTGCTCCAGTACATGTCAAGTTTTTGGGAATGGACACTATCAGACTTTTGACTCCAAATGGTTTCGCTTTGATGGTCATTGTCAGTACACGTTAGTCAAGGTAAGAACATAGGATTTTATATTTAGATTATTCACTTTATACAAATTTTCCATTCTCTGTGAAGGTAAGCTTCTAGTTGTAGCCACAACTGCCTTGGGTCCTACTGACCTATATGCCTACATAGGCATATAAGGTAATGTGTCTTGGACTGGTTAGAGCTGGGATTTAACCTCCAACCTTACAATTATACGACGACTTCAACCACACAGAAATTTTCTTTCTTCAGAATAATTTTGCCTTACACTTGTAATGCACTTTACTGGCCTGTCAAAGCCGCTCAAAGTGCTACACTGTAGTTATTATTTATTCACTCCATACTCAATGATGGTAAGACACTACTGTAGCCACAGCTGCCATGAGGCAGACTGATGGACATCAGGCCCCCCTGAGCCTAGTTTAGTTATGATGAAGACTTGACTTGTTCTAGTCAGGGTTTAATCCTTCTCTAGTCCCAGTGTATGAGATGGGACAATGATACTCTAACAACGTGAAAGTAAAGTTAATTATTTTCTATAGGATGACTGTGGCAGGAGAAATGGTACATTTTCTGTCCGAGTTGAAAGTGTTCCCTGTTGTGACGAGGCCCTTACTTGTTCTCGATCAATTGTGCTGGATGTCAAAGTAAGTACTTTTCAACAACCTCTTCATTGTACGATAGTTAAGGCCTCAATGTGATAATTTTTTTCTTGAAGGACCATTTCAGCCTCTCTCTTAGTGACATGAAAGTGACGGAGCAGGTCCACAGTGCCCTGCACCAACACAGTCCTCCGTACACAATTCAAACAGTGGGTCTCTACATCATTATAACTGTCCCCACTAAAGGCATCACTCTGATCTGGGACAAACACACTTGGATCACCATAGAACTGCAGCCACAATGGAGGGTGAGGAAAACTTTGTTAATTAGATATATTTTTTCAATACCCCAGTTAAATAAGGCTTTTAAAACTTTTGTTGCCTAAATAGATCCTTGCTTTTAATTTTTCTGTGTTTGTTTTGTTTCATTTATACATACATGCTTGTATATTTTGTGTATTTTGGGCATATTTTACACCTGTTGTACTACTGTTTTTTGTTCCACAGAAAGAGGTGTGTGGCCTCTGTGGGAACTTTGACTCCAATGAGATGAATGATCTTCAAATAAAGGATTCATCAGGTAAATCTAAGTTTACGTCTATATATTATCTCATAAATGTCAAAAATCTCCCGACTTTTGCAAAGAAATTGTGCGGGCAATAAATATTTAGCCCCAAATATTGTTCCAGCTTGATAAGTTGATATAGTATTTATCATGACAGGCCTGTTATCTTACCATTGTGAGTAACTGTGTTTGTTTGTTTGTTTGTTTTAGTGGCGTTGACTCCGGTGGTGTTTGGGAACAGCTGGAAGAGCCCCTCCCCTCCCTGTTCTGATGTTACGACGGAGATATTTCCGTGTGAACGAAACTCGTACTGTGGAGCCTGGGCCCAAAGACGCTGCCGGATCATTACAGGAGACACGTTCAAAGACTGTCATCTTAAAGTACAAAGTTTTATATGATTATTCTTTGCCTTAAATGGACTGTTTTTATTATTTTAAAAACATGAAAAATAGAATTAGCTTATTTTAAACTGTTGGCAGTAGTCCAAAGTCCTGATTATTCACTGAGATGAGATTATAAGGGCTTTTCACAACTGTCAGAGGCCAAAGTGGAGAGAACGATAAACATTACCAACATCTAGCATGCTAACAGTGCACTTCCTGAGTCTTAGACAGTAAAACGCTTTATATTAAGATGCAGACAGCACACAGCAGTCTCATTTTGACCTTCAAAATATATGAGCAGCGTGTCTATTTTGTTTTGAACTGTACATTTGTGGACGCTTCTACATTATAAGTCATTTAAATTTTACAGTTTACAATGAACAAAATGTAAAATCAATCAATCAAACTTTATTTATAGAGCACTTTTCATACAAAAAAATGCAACACAAAGCAATTAATTTATTATTGCACATATCTGATTACTAATTAACCCCCCAAAATCTGAATTTCTCTTGTAACTTTTTGATTGAGGGTCTGTCACCTGCTTGTTTCTGTGGATATGTCATTGCTCTGCCTGGAATGTTCCACAGTATGGCATTAAACAGCTCTACGTTTACGTTTATTCAATTACAGGTGGTTTTATAGCTCAAAAATACCTAGAAAAACAGGCATTCTAACTGTGAACGGGGTCGCCTCTCCACAGATTTGACCTGCAACTTGGTCTGGTTTGGTCTCTGAAGATACAAAGGTTTAATGCCATACTGGGAAACATTCCAGACAAAGCAGTAACATCTCCAAGAAGAAGAGCATTTGCCGGACCTTCCTCCATAAAAATTACACAATGCACCTTTAAAATGTGTCTATGTTCTGTTCTCAGGTGGACCCAGAGCCGTACTACCAGGCCTGTGTGCAGGAGTCTTGCTCGTGTGAGTTTGAGGGGAGGTTTCTGGGCTTCTGTACCGCTGTGGCCGCTTATGCCGAGGCCTGCAGCCACTGGGACGTCTGTGTGGACTGGAGAACTCCTGATCTATGCCGTGAGTGTGATTTATTTATCTTTAACAATTACAGTGGAACTAAACATCAAAAACATTTTTTTGCTAACTGTGTAGTGTTTGACTAGTACTGTCTACTGTCCCTAGTCTTTTTAGTCAATAGTTATATTTGCAGCCTCTAGTGACCGCTGCCTTGAATAAAGACGGCTGTTTCCCATATTTTTAAAGTTAAATTCCTCAAAATGGCACCGATAACACACAGCAGATAACCAAGAATCACACCCATATTTCATATTTGCATTTTTTGGCCCACATTGTTGGAGTTAAATTTGCTCAGGCACGCATTGGAGTAATGATTGATTTGATACAAGGAAATATTATATTCAATTTTTTTGGCATTTGGTTTGGCATTTGGAAAGTGTACTTCTGTTAACTATAGAAACCAAGTTTACACTATTAAACACTGACCAAGTATTTTTATTTCTCTTCAGCGGTGTACTGTGACTACTACAATGAGCACGACCAGTGTGTGTGGCACTATCAAGCTTGTGGTCAACTGCTCACCTGTGGCCAAGACGAAGACTTTACTTATAAACTAGAAGGTACAAAGGCTTGAAATGCCAAACCATATTTAATAATTCATAGTTTTTAATGTGTCAAACAGTAACGTTTTAAAGAAGGAATATTGTTATAATATTACACTGACATCTGTAAAATTATGTCAAAGGTTGTTATCCCAGATGCCCTGAAGAGAAGCCGTATTATGATGAACATACTGGAAAATGCACAGATTTGCGAAAGCTGTACTTGTTATTTCAATGGGACTGTCCTAGATCCGGGGACCAGGGTCTTAATAGATCTGAGAGAATGGTAAGTGATTACAAATGTATCAGAAATTTGAAGAAAGTAAAAGTAGAAGCTAACTGCTACTCTTATTTTGTGCTTTGTAGCAACTGTCAGAATGGAAAAATTAAGTGTAGTAAGTATATTTTTATGAAGTATGTCATTTAAAGGAACAGTAGTGCTTTTTAAGAGCTACATACAATCACAGCTTCACCTGGGTTGCCAGCATGGAGGGTTGCCAGATCCTAAATCAACAAATAATGTACACAATAATAAGTTATTCTCAGTATATTGACACACCTGGCCTCATTTGAAAGCCCAAATGTGAGGCTTATTCTGCTCTTTCAGAACCTAAACTCCAAATTCTAACATAAACAATATTGCTCTAAAGCAGAGGTGGGGACATACAAGTCGTGACTTGGACTCGAGTCAGACTTGAGTCACTATTTTCAGGACTTGAGAGTTGACTTGATGAAATGGACTAAGCCTTGGGACTTCGATTTGGACTTGAAGGTCAGTGACTTGGGACTTGACTCGGACTTGAGGCCTGTGACTTCAGAAGACTTGAAAAGCACTTTTTAAATCAGATTTTTTTCTATTCTGACCGTAATGATTCACACTAAGATCTTGTCAATACATTTAAAAAGGAAAAATTAACTAAATTATTTTTTATAACTCTTATATACTTTGTAAATACTCATATATAAATACACTATGGCTTTTTAAGTGCAATTTATCTTAAAATTCATATAAATTGCAAAAGTCTAAGTACTTTGGTTTAAAGACTTGAAATGACTTGAAGCTCAAAGCAGATGACTTGAACTTGACTTGGACTTATTGGCCAGACTTGACTTGGACTTGCCAGTATTTGACTTAGGACTTGACTCGGACTTGAGTTCAAAGACTTGAGACTTACTTGAGACTTGCAAAACAAAGACTTGGTTCCACCTCTGCTGTACAGTATTTCTGATGAAGAATAAATCAGCACTAGTCACCAGTAAGAGCTATTATTGCTTTGCCTGGAATGTTCCACAGTATGGCTCTGTTCATGTCTGTGTCCATGGAGAGAAGTTACAGGTCAGGTCTGTGGAGAGGCAAGGACGCATGCTTGTCAAGATAAAATTAAAACAGACATCCAAGATTATGTGTTCGGTTCCATACTGTGGAACATTCTAGATAAGAACATCTCCAAGACAAGCAACTGACAGACCCTCCATCTGTTACATCAAAAGTTACATAATGCAGCTTTAAAAAATGTTTCTCTGATCTACAGTCCAAATAATTGACATGTCAAGATTATATGAAGCGTTAATTAAAAAATACACTCATAATAATAATAACAGAAATTTAACTTAATGTAACTTAACTACATTTTTCAAACCAACTCTTATTGTCTTTTTTTCCCAACAGCACCTTCCTCCACCACGGCTCTACCTACTACAACTACTACTGCTACTACTACTATTACTGCACCTACAACTATTTCTACTACTACTTCAACTTCTACTGCACCAACCACAACTTCAACTACTACTACAACTGTACCCCCCACTGCTTCACCAACTACTACTGCACCAACCACTACTTCAACTACTACTACAATTAAACCCCCCACTACTTCAACTACTACTACTACTACTACTGCCACACCTGCTACAACTGTACCCCCCTCTACTTTGATTACTACTACAACTGTATCCCCCACGACTTCAACTACTACTGCAACAACCACTGCTTCATCTACTATAACTGTATCCCCCAAGATTTTTACTTCAACTACTACTACTACAACTATCCCACCCACTACTTCATCATCTACTACTGTACCAACTACTACTTCAACCACTACTACAACTGTACCCCCCACTGCTTCAACTACTACTACTGCACAACCACTACTTCAACTACTACTACAACTACCCACACTACTTCTCACTACTACTGCACCAACTACTACTTCAACCACTACTACAACTGTACCCCCCACTGCTTCAACTACTACTACTGCAACAACCACTGCTTCATCTACTATAACTGTATCCCCCAAGATTTTTACTTCAACTACTACTACTACAACTACTACTTCAACTACTACTACAACTACCTCACCCACTACTTCATCATCTACTACTGCACCAACTACTACTTCAACCACTACTACAACTGTACCCCCCACTGCTTCAACTACTACTACAATTAAACCCCCCACTACTTCAACTACTACTACTACTACTACTGCCACACCTGCTACAACTGTACCCCCCTCTACTTTGATTACTACTACAACTGTATCCCCCACTACTTCAACTACTACTGCAACAACCACTGCTTCATCTACTATAACTGTATCCCCCAAGATTTTTACTTCAACTACTACTACTACAACTACCCCACCCACTACTTCATCATCTACTACTGTACCAACTACTACTTCAACCACTACTACAACTGTACCCCCCACTGCTTCAACTACTACTACTGCAACAACCACTGGTTCATCTACTGTAACTGTATCCCCCAAGATTTTTACTTCAACTACTACTACTACAACTACCCCACCCACTACTTCATCATCTACTACTGCACCAACTACTACTTCAACTACTACTACAACTGTACCCCCCACTGCTTCAACTACTACTACTACAACTACCCCACCCACTACTTCATCATCTACTACTGTACCAACTACTACTTCAACTACTACTACAACTACCTCACCCACTACTTCACCAACTACTATTGCACAAACCACTACTTCAATTACTACAACTAACACGCCCACTACTTTAACAACTACCACTGCACCAACCACTACTTCAAGTACGACTACAACTAAACCCCCCACAAATTTGACTACTACTACAACTGTACCCACCACTACTTCAGCCACTATTACTGCACCACCCACTGCTTCATCTACTATAATTGGAACCCCCTGGATTTTTACTTCAACTACTACTACTACTACTACAGCAGTTCCCCCCACTGCTTCAACTACTGCTACAACTGTACTCCCCACTACTTCAACTACTATTACAGCTGTACCCCCCACTAATTTGACTACTACTACAACTGTACCCACCACTACTTCAACTACTACTACAACTCCTACAACAACAATCATAACTACCACAGCAGTACCAACCACTACTATTATTCCAACTACTATGGGTACTTCAACTTTGCCTACTACTACAACTACTGTGCAAACTACTGCAAGTACTACAACTACTACAAACTGGACCACAACTAGTTCTCCAACGACAGAAAGTAAGATAATTGTTTTTGTTTTGTTTTGTTTTAATTTCAACATCTGCATAACATTTTTAGAATTAACTAAATTTGTTGTTTGAAATGCTACTAACAGTCAGGAGCACAGAAATTCAGCTATTTTAGAATATTATTACACTCATAATGTTACCAAAAATTCTAGTTCTTGCATGACCATTAGTATATATTTTTACAATTATTTATATAAAAAATTATTTAATATAAAAGTAATAACATTCTTGGTTTTCCACATTGACCCAAAACGTGTAGTGGGCTCATTGGTACTCTTTGCCAAAATCCTAGCTAAAGATGTGACCCAAATACAGAAAAAGTTTATTTTTGAATGAAATTAACCAAATTTTACAAAACATTTTATATGTATTTTAAATACTCAGTGTAGACAGTTTGTAATTATAGAATGTATATCTAATGTATTACACTGCAGTCAAAATACATTAACATAGAAATTACTGAGATATTCTGATATAGTTTAGGAAAATATAATAGTTTATGAAATATTGTTGGTCTATCCACAAAAAAATATGTGACTATATACTATAATTCGTCTCTGTAGGACCTTGTGAGTGTGTTAACTTGAAGACCAAGCAGAAGTGGGCATGTGGAGAGACCTGGATAGAGGACTGTGATTATGTGACCTGCACTAACAGTGTCCTGCAGCTTACTCCAGTGACGTGTCCAGAATATTCCCCTCCCAACTGCCCCAGAGGTCTGATCGTGAATGTGTCCGATGGATGTTGTGAACGGCCAATGTGTGACTGTAAGTTTACCCAAATTTTACACAGTGTTTCCAACAGGTTAATGCTAAGACTATGGACGCACAAGCGATATTCAGTATTTCAATAATTTTATTGTATACAATATTTTGTTGTTTAAATGTCGCTTACTGCCTCTACTGATAAAAACAAAAAAAAAACACTGATTACACATTGAATATACTTACTACTATGTGTTTATGATAACACTACAAGTATAAAGTATCATTTTGTTTTACCAGTTTTTTTGCTCAGCTTGTTTTTAGATTATGGGGAAGAACAATAGACTATGGGAGGCCACCACTGTCTCCACTGCCATCACTCTCTTATCTAGTTTCTTTGTACTATGTAACTAAGCAGAAAATATCTGAAAATCTTAGTATCTCAGTATTTTGACAAACAATTATAATATTTAGTATTTTGTAATGCTTTACTTTAGAAAGACCCAAGCAGCATTACTTCATAGCGGCAGAGTGGTTAGCTCTCCTGCTTCCTCCCTCTGTCTCAGGGCAGCAAACCAACTCTACCTGAGAGTATGAATACATGAACTTCTCCCAATCCAGCTTTTTCAGTTCCAATACCGATTCTGATACTATGGCTTTAAGTATCTGCTGTTACCTGATAAACAAATCCTTTAAACAAAAACTAAAATAAGACTAAACTGATTCAAATGCATTATGTAACTTTTATGTGTCTCCTTAGTAACTACAGAACAACTGTCTGTAAATAAAAAAATATTATGAGTCCTTTTGTCCCGACTATGACCACTAAATAGTCCATCCATTTTCTTCCGCTTATCCGGGGCTGGGTCAGTGGGGCACCCCACACTCTATCTCTCTAAGGGAGCGCCAAGCCACCTTGCAGAGGAAACTCATTTTGGCCCCTTGTATCCGCAATCTTGTCCTTTCGGTCATTCCCCAGAGCTCATGACCATAGGTGAGGGGAGGATTGTGGATTGACAGTAAATCGAGAGCTTCGCCTTTCAGCCCAGCTCCCTCTTCACCAAAACGGTTTGATACAGTGACCACATCACTGCAGATGCTGCACCAATCCGCCAGTCAATCCATCCTCCCCTCACTCATGTACATATTTGAACTCCTCCAAATGAGGCAGGGGCTCTCCACCCACCCTCTCTCAAAATACTGATAGTCTTATTACATCAATTTATATGACCAACTAGGCTACTGACTGACTGAACCCATGTTTGGAATTTTTCAGTTTTGGTATCAGATCAGTGCATCCCTTTCAGAGATGTATATTACATTCAGCTACAGCTATGAATAGAGACTGGAAAGAGTATTTTTTGGCCTTTTAAAATCAGAAATTGTACATTCATACAACCTACGATCTAATCATTTAAAATCGTTAATGATCAGCTTGATGCTTTTCAAATGAAAGATCTACAGCCAATCCTCTGTCAGTAAAAGCTTTTAAAAAGCCTAGTGTAGTTTATTTTTTAGTTTAGTTTTAATTTTCTTTATTTAGTTGAGAGAAATAAATTTGATTGTTTTCAGTATTAAACAGGACTGATTTAAAGTCTGTCTTGTTTATGTTCATGGCCTCTCTTTCTTATAGGCCGCTGTGAGCTGTACGGAGACCCCCACTACATCTCATTTGGAGGCGTAACATTTGATTTCCTTGATGACTGCACATATGTCCTGGTGGAGGAACAGTTCCCTCAGTACANTTTTGTTTTGAACTGTACATTTGTGGACGCTTCTATATTATAAGTCATTTAAATTTTACAGTTTACAATGAACAAAATGTAAAATCAATCAATCAAACTTTATTTATAGAGCACTTTTCATACAAAAAAATGCAACACAAAGCAATTAATTTATTATTGCACATATCTGATTACTAATTAAACCCCCCAAAATCTGAATTTCTCTTGTAACTTTTTGATTGAGGGTCTGTCACCTGCTTGTTTCTGTGGATATGTCATTGCTCTGCCTGGAATGTTCCACAGTATGGCATTAAACAGCTCTACGTTTACGTTTATTCAATTACAGGTGGTTTTATAGCTCAAAAATACCTTGAAAAACAGGCATTCTCAACTGTGAACGGGGTCGCCTCTCCACAGATTTGACCTGCAACTTGGTCTGGTTTGGTCTCTGAAGATACAAAGGTTTAATGCCATACTGGGAAACATTCCAGACAAAGCAGTAACATCTCCAAGAAGAAGAGCATTTGCCGGACCTTCCTCCATAAAAATTACACAATGCACCTTTAAAATGTGTCTATCTTCTGTTCTCAGGTGGACCCAGAGCCGTACTACCAGGCCTGTGTGCAGGAGTCTTGCTCGTGTGAGTTTGAGGGGAGGTTTCTGGGCTTCTGTACCGCTGTCGCCGCTTATGCCGAAGCCTGCAGCCACTGGGACGTCTGTGTGGACTGGAGAACTCCTGATCTATGCCGTGAGTGTGATTTATTTATCTTTAACAATTACAGTGGAACTAAACATCAAAAACATTTTTTTGCTAACTGTGTAGTGTTTGACTAGTACTGTCTACTGTCCCTAGTCTTTTTAGTCAATAGTTATATTTGCAGCCTCTAGTGACCGCTGCCTTGAATAAAGACAGCTGTTTCCCATATTTTTAAAGTTAAATTCCTCAAAATGGCACTGATAACACACAGCAGATAACCAAGAATCACACCCATATTTCATATTTGCATGTTTTTGGCCCACATTGTTGGAGTTAAATTTGCTCAGGCACGCATTGGAGTAATGATTGATTTAATACAAGGAAATATTATATTCAATTTTTTTGGCATTTGGTTTGGCATTTGGAAAGTGTACTTCTGTTAACTATAGAAACCAAGTTTACACTATTAACACTGACCAAGTATTTTTATTTCTCTTCAGCGGTGTACTGTGACTACTACAATGAGCACGACCAGTGTGTGTGGCACTATCAAGCTTGTGGTCAACTGCTCACCTGTGGCCAAGACGAAGACTTTACTTATAAACTAGAAGGTACAAAGGCTTGAAATGCCAAACCATATTTAATAATTCATAGTTTTTAATGTGTCAAACAGTAACGTTTTAAAGAAGGAATATTGTTATAATATTACACTGACATCTGTAAAATTATGTCAAAGGTTGTTATCCCAGATGCCCTGAAGAGAAGCCGTATTATGATGAACATACTGGAAAATGCACAGATTTGCGAAACTGTACTTGTTATTTCAATGGGACTGTCCTAGATCCGGGGACCAGGGTCTTAATAGATCTGAGAGAATGGTAAGTGATTACAAATGTATCAGAAATTTGAAGAAAGTAAAAGTAGAAGCTAACTGCTAAACTTCTTATTTTGTGCTTTGTAGCAACTGTCAGAATGGAAAAATTAAGTGTAGTAAGTATATTTTTTATGAAGTATGTCATTTAAAGGAACAGTAGTGCTTTTTAAGAGCTACATACAATCACAGCTTCACCTGGGTTGCCAGCATGGAGGGTTGCCAGATCCTAAATGAACAAATAATTTAATCAATAATAAGTTATTCTCAGTATATTGACACACCTGGCCTCATTTGAAAGCCCAAATGTGAGGCTTATTCTGCTCTTTCAGAACCTTAACTCCAAATTCTAACATAAACAATATTGCTCTAAAGCAGAGGTGGGGACTTACAAGTCGTGACTTGGACTCGAGTCAGACTTGAGTCACTATTTTCAGGACTTGAGACTTGACTTGATGAAATGGACTAAGCCTTGGGACTTGATTTGGACTTGAAGGTCAGTGACTTGGGACTTGACTCGGACTTGAGGCCTGTGACTTCAGAAGACTTGAAAAGCACTTTTAAATCAGATTTTTTTTCTATTCTGACCGTAATGATTCACACTAAGATCTTGTCAATACATTTAAAAAGGAAAAATTAACTAAATTATTTTTTATAACTCTTATATACTTTGTAAATACTCATATATAAATACACTATGGCTTTTTAAGTGCAATTTATCTTAAAATTCATATAAATTGCAAAAGTCTAAGTACTTTGGTTTAAAGACTTGAAATGACTTGAAGCTCAAAGCAGATGACTTGAACTTGACTTGGACTTATTGGCCAGACTTGACTTGGACTTGCAAGTATTTGACTTAGGACTTGACTCGGACTTGAGTTCAAAGACTTGAGACTTACTTGAGACTTGCAAAACAAAGACTTGGTTCCACCTCTGCTGTACAGTATTTCTGATGAAGAATAAATCAGCACTAGTCACCAGTAAGAGCTATTATTGCTTTGCCTGGAATGTTCCACAGTATGGCTCTGTTCATGTCTGTGTCCATGGAGAGAAGTTACAGGTCAGGTCTGTGGAGAGGCAAGGACGCATGCTTGTCAAGATAAAATTAAAACAGACATCCAAGATTATGTGTTCGGTTCCATACTGTGGAACATTCCAGATAAGAACATCTCCAAGACAAGCAACTGACAGACCCTCCATCTGTTACATCAAAAGTTACATAATGCAGCTTTAAAAAATGTTTCTCTGATCTACAGTCCAAATAATTGACATGTCAAGATTATATGAAGCGTTAATTAAAAAAATACACTCATAATAATAATAACAGAAATTTAACTTAATGTAACTTAACTACATTTTTCAAACCAACTCTTATTGTCTTTTTTTCCCAACAGCACCTTCCTCCACCACGGCTCTACCTACTACAACTACTACTGCTACTACTACTATTACTGCACCTACAACTATTTCTACTACTACTTCAACTTCTACTGCACCAACCACAACTTCAACTACTACTACAACTGTACCCCCCACTGCTTCACCAACTACTACTGCACCGACCACTACTTCAACTACTACTACAATTAAACCCCCCACTACTTCAACTACTACTACAACTGTACCCCCCACTGCTTCACCAACTACTACTGCACCGACCACAACTTCAACTACTACTACAACTGTACCCCCCACTGCTTCACCAACTACTACTGCACCGACCACTACTTCAACTACTACTACAATTAAACCCCCCACTACTTCAACTACTACTACTACTACTACTACTACTGCCACACCTGCTACAACTGTACCCCCCTCTACTTTGATTACTACTACAACTGTATCCCCCACTACTTCAACTACTACTGCAACAACCACTGCTTCATCTACTATAACTGTATCCCCCAAGATTTTTCCTTCAACTACTACTACTACAACTACCACCCACTACTTCATCATCTACTACTGCACCAACTACTACTTCAACTACTACTACAACTACCTCACCCACTACTTCACCAACTACTATTGCACAAACCACTACTTCAATTACTACAACTAACACGCCCACTACTTTAACAACTACCACTGCACCAACCACTACTTCAAGTACGACTACAAATAAACCCCCCCACTAATTTGACTACTACTACAACTGTACCCCCCCACTATTTCAGCCACTACTACTGCACCACCCACTGCTTCATCTACTATAATTGGAACCCCCTGGATTTTTACTTCAACTACTACTACTACTACTACTACTACTACAGCAGTTCCCCCCACTGCTTCAACTACTGCTACAACTGTACCCCCCACTACTTCAACTACTATTACAGCTGTACCCCCCACTAATTTGACTACTACTACAACTGTACCCACCACTACTTCAACTACTACTACAACTCCTACAACAACAATCATAACTACCACAGCAGTACCAACCACTACTATTATTCCAACTACTATGGGTACTTCAACTTTGCCTACTACTACAACTACTGTGCAAACTACTGCAAGTACTACAACTACTACAAACTGGACCACAACTAGTTCTCCAACGACAGAAAGTAAGATAATTGTTTTTGTTTTGTTTTAATTTCAACATCTGCATAACATTTTTAGAATTAACTAAATTTGTTGTTTGAAATGCTACTAACAGTCAGGAGCACAGAAATTCAGCTATTTTAGAATATTATTACACTCATAATGTTACCAAAAATTCTAGTTCTTGCATGACCATTAGTATATATTTTTACAAATTATTTAATATAAAAATAATAACATTCTTGGTTTTCCACATTGACCCAAAACGTGTAGTGGGCTCATTGGTACTCCTTGCCAAAATCCTAGCTAAAGATGTGACCCAAATACAGAAAAAGTTTATTTTTGAATGACATTAACCAAAATTTTACAAAATTTTTTTATATGTATTTTAAATACTCAGTGTAGACAGTTTATAATTATAGAATGTATATCTAATGTATTACACTGCAGTCAAAATACATTAACATAGAAATTACTGAGATATTCTGATATAGTTTAGGAAAATATAATAGTTTATGAAATATTGTTGGTCTATCCACAAAAAAATATGTGACTATATACTATAATTCGTCTCTGTAGGACCTTGTGAGTGTGTTAACTTGAAGACCAAGCAGAAGTGGGCATGTGGAGAGACCTGGATAGAGGACTGTGAATTATGTGACCTGCACTAACAGTGTCCTGCAGCTTACTCCAGTGACGTGTCCAGAATATTCCCCTCCCAACTGCCCCAGAGGTCTGATCGTGAATGTGTCCGATGGATGTTGTGAACGGCCAATGTGTGACTGTAAGTTTACCCAAATTTTACACAGTGTTTCCAACAGGTTAATGCTAAGACTATGGACGCACAAGCGATATTCAGTATTTCAATAATTTTATTGTATACAATATTTTGTTGTTTAAATGTCGCTTACTGCCTCTACTGATAAAAACAAAACAAAAAACACTGATTACACATTGAATATACTTACTACTATGTGTTTATGATAACACTACAAGTATAAAGTATCATTTTGTTTTACCAGTTTTTTGCTCAGCTTGTTTTTAGATTATGGGGAAGAACAATAGACTATGGGAGGCCACCATTGTCTCCACTGCCATCACTCTCTTATCTAGTTTCTTTGTACTATGTAACTAAGCAGAAAATATCTGAAAATCTTAGTATCTCAGTATTTTGACAAACAATTATAATATTTTGTATTTTGTAATGCTTTACTTTATAAAGACCCAAGCAGCATTACTTCATAGCGGCAGAGTGGTTAGCTCTCCTGCTTCCTCCCTCTGTCTCAGGGCAGCAAACCAACTCTACCTGAGAGTATGAATACATGAACTTCTCCCAATCCAGCTTTTTCAGTTCCAATACCGATTCTGATACTATGGCTTAAAGTATCTGCTATTACCTGATAAACAAATCCTTTAAACAAAAACTAAAATAAGACAAAACTGATTCAAATGCATTATGTAACTTTTATGTGTCTCCTTAGTAACTACAGAACAACTGTCTGTAAATAAAAAAATATTATGAGTCCTTTTGTCCCGACTATGACCACTAAATAGTCCATCCATTTTCTTCCGCTTATCCGGGGCTGGGTCAGTGGGGCACCCCACACTCTATCTCTAAGGGAGCGCCAAGCCACCTTGCAGAGGAAACTCATTTTGGCCCCTTGTATCCGCAATCTTGTCCTTTCGGTCATTCCCCAGAGCTCATGACCATAGGTGAGGGGAGGATTGTGGATTGACAGTAAATCGAGAGCTTCGCCTTTCAGCCCAGCTCCCTCTTCACCAAAACGGTTTGATACAGTGACCACATCACTGCAGATGCTGCACCAATCCGCCAGTCAATCCATCCTCCCCTCATTCATGTACATACTTGAACTCCTCCAAATGAGGCAGGGGCTCTCCACCCACCCTCTCTCAAAATACTGATAGTCTTATTACATCAATTTATATGACCAACTAGGCTACTGACTGACTGAACCCATGTTTGGAATTTTTCAGTTTTGGTATCAGATCAGTGCATCCCTTTCAGAGATGTATATTACATTCAGCTACAGCTATGAATAGAGACTGGAAAGAGTATTTTTTGGCCTTTTAAAATCAGAAATTGTACATTCATACAATCTACGATCTAATCATTTAAAATCGTTAATGATCAGCTTGATGCTTTTCAAATGAAAGATCTACAGCCAATCCTCTGTCAGTAAAAGCTTTTAAAAAGCCTAGTGTAGTTTATTTTTTAGTTTAGATTTATTTTTCTTTATTTAATTGAGAGAAATAAATTTGATTGTTTTCAGTATTAAATAGGACTGATTTAAAGTCTGTCTTGTTTATGTTCATGGCCTCTCTTTCTTATAGGCCGCTGTGAGCTGTACGGAGACCCCCACTACATCTCATTTGGAGGCGTAACATTTGATTTCCTTGATGACTGCACATATGTCCTGGTGGAGGAACAGTTCCCTCAGTACAACCTCACCATCGCTGTGGACAACTACTTCTGTATTGAAGGCCTGGACGGCTCCTGTGTGAAGGGTGTGATAGTCAAATATAAAGGAAAGACGGCCACGCTCTCCATTGACTCATATGTAGTTCAGGTCTGACTTGGTTTTTGAGTTTGCAATTCTCAACTGGTTTGTAGACCTGTGTAACTTTAAACTTCTTTTGATATTGAACAGCTGATACTTACAAGGCCCATATTAGGCTATTTTCTGATCTATGTTGTTTCCTCATCAAAAACACACCATGAGTTGTGTTTTGTTTTATTCACACGTGTTTAACACACAAATCCTGCATATTTAGGCTGAGCTCTTCTCTCAAACTGAAACTCTGTTCCACCTTGTGATGTCATGTGGTAATAAAGGAAGTGATCCACTGTGTTTTTCCATACATCTTCACTATAATCATTTGGATGATTTCAGCCCTAGGATTGTCAGTCTCTGCTGAACTAAAGGTAAAATACTGTAAGGTAAGGTAGCCATACTAGGTTGTCAAAACCCAATCTTGACAGATTTCAGAAGCTCAGCAGGGTCGGGCCTGGTTAGTACTTGGATTGGAGACCGCTGGGAAAATCAGCAGCCACAGGGGGGCGCCAGTCACAGAAACTGCTGTTGTGTCCTTAGGCAAGGCACTTCACCCACATTGCCTAGTATGAAAGTGGTGTATGTGTGAGTGATGGTGGTGGTCAGAGGGGCTGATGGCACAGATTGGCAGCTGTGCTTCAGTCAGTTTGCCCTAGGGCAGCTGTGGCTACAGCAGTAGCTTACCACCACCAAGTATGGAGGGAATGAATAATGAACTGTAAAGCATCTTTGTGACTTATGCCTGTGAAAAGTGCTATATAAATTGAAAAAACTTACTAAACTTACTAAAAGGTAAGTATCACTTCATGACATCACAAGGTGGATCCCAATTTTGGGTGTTTGAGATGTGGATTACTCGAACATGAATGAAACAAAACACAACTCCGGGTATGTATTTGATGAGGTAACACCATTATAACAAGGCTAAAAGCTCAGAAGTGTACATTTTAACTTTAACCTTTAAACCAGCTTTTATTGTGTATGTAGAATGATATGGCACTAGATGTTCTTACTGTGAACATGGTCACCGCTCCACTCATCAGACATGTACCTGGTCACCGGCTTGTCTCCATGGAGCTAGATATGATTATCGCCATACTGTGGAACATTCAAGGCAAAGCAATAACATCTCAAAACAATCTTAACATATATTATAAACATATTATATTACAAAAATTAGGTTAATGGACACTATTATTTATTTACATTGTTAGTGACGTGTTATGTGTTGCTAAACATATTGACACCCAGTAAAATAAATGCAATCTTGCAATTAAAAGTCCTCACAACCTCCAGATTAGTTAATTTAAAACATATATATAATCTCTTTCCACTGTGTCCTCCAGGCATCTTTGAACAGCGAGTTCATAGAAGTTCCTTTTGAAGAGCCTGGGTTCAGGTTTGAATCGACGGGATACGTGACGACGCTGGTCCTGCCTGAGATCCGCTCATACGTCAGCCTCACGCCCTCTTTCTCTCTGGTCATCAGTCTGGCCATGGAGAACTTTGGCTACAACACACAGGGACAGTGTGGTGGGTACCGAGGAGGAGGCTGTATGGATAAAGAGAGAGAGGGGAGAGAGAGGGAGAGACAGAGGGAGAGACGGACGGAGAGACAGAAAAAGAGAGTGACACAGAGACAGAGAGATGAATTGATAAAGAGATGAAGAGACACATACCACATACAATATTTTCAGCCAAATTCAGCAGGCTAGAACCGGGCCTGGCTTAATGTAATCCTACTCTAGAAACACATATCCCACAATGCATCATTCATTTCTTTATATCTCTAATGCATGATAATGATGATTTTATGATGACTTAATCTGAACTCTCTACACAGGTGTGTGCGGAGGTGAGTCCTGTATTCGGCCTGGGGGATACATTGAAGAAGACAGTTGCTGTGACAAAACAGCTTATGACTGGATTTATGAAGACCCCCAAAAGCCAAAGTGTGTATCTGCTCCGAGAGACATCCCCTGTGGTGCTCCCACTCCAACACCCCCCTGTTCCCATTCACATCCACTCTGTGAACTGCTCAACGAACAGTGAGTTTAATACACAAACAAGACAGACTTGATAAAAGTGCTGTGCTTATCACAGGTTAGTGAGGTACAGTACTTTTTCACTAAAATAGTTAACATAATTATATTTTAAATAAGATTTTACAAAAAAAAAAAAAATCCCTGCTTTTATCAAAGTTTATTTAATTTTGTTAAAGAAGAAGACAACATTACTTCCTAGTTGATATGACATATAGGCAAGGCAAGGCAAGTTTATTTGTATAGCACAAAGTAATTCAAAGTGCTTTACAGAATAAGAAATACATTAAAATCACAATAAAAACAAATAAAAACATAAATCATCACAAAATTTAACATTAAATTAAAAGAGAGAGAGATATTAATTAGATAAATTAGAGAGAAGAGTGCGAAGAGTCCTTTCAGTCATATGCACAGTGAACAGAACCCTTTTGAGCCTGGATTTAAACAGCGTCAAAGAAGAGGCCTCTCATGTTCAGGAAGACTTTTCCAGGTTTTAGCTGAGTGAACTTGAAACGCTGACTCCCCTTGTTTAGTCCTGACTCTAGGCACCAGCAGGAGGCTGGTCCCTGAGGTCCTCAGAGTGCGAGATGGTTCATATGACACTAACATGTCAGAGATGTACTTTGGTGCTCGGCCATGGAGAGACTTGTACACAAACAGAGCCGCTTTAAAGTCTATTCTCTGAGCCACAGGAGCCAGTGCAGAGACCTGAGTACAAGACTTATGTGCTCGTACTTCCTAGTTTGAGTAAGAGCTTATATCATAACTGTTACCAAAGGTGTGTTAACAAGGGGCAAAAGACTACTAAAAAGTAGACTAATAAAAATAGGCGATAACATCTTCACCAAGTCATACTTACAAACACAAACTTGTC